ACCTCTCTTCCCTCCCTCCCTCCCTCCTTCTTTCCACCGCAACCACCAAAGACCGCCCCCGCCCCGCGCCAGCAGCCGCCGCCGCCGCCCCGCACCTGCGCCAGGCTGGCAGCCGCAATCGGCTCCGCACTGAACTCGCTGAACAGCTCGGGGATGGGCGCCCCCAGCTCCCGCTCCACCACCGCCCTCGCCTCCACCGTGGAGAAGGGCTCGATCTTGTCCTGCGGGGTGGGTGCGAGAGGAGGGGTGGGCGTGCGGTTGGAGGTTGGAGGGCGCTGTGTGGCGAGATAGAGCGCAGGCACGGTAGCAAGTGCGCATGGGCGAGCTGCGGGCCGCTCCTCAGCCAGCCTCCCCCACCCACACACCGCCTGCTGCCCCCCACCTGCAGCTTGGCAAGCTCGCCCATCACTGGTGGCGGCAGCACATCGGGCCTGCGAGGGAGCAGGGGCGGGGCAGGTTGGGCGAGGAGGCAGGCCCAGGTGGCCCAGGCGGCGGCCTGCCCTCCCCCTACAGATGTCTGCACACCGGCTGCCCGCTCGAAAGGGAGGCATGCGCCTCCACAGGAGGCGTATAGGGTATGGCACAGGCGTGCATGAGGAATGCCATCGCCTGCGCTGCCGCCTCGCCTGGAGCGCACACAGCCCCGCCCGTCCCTACCCACACTCGCGTCGCCGCGCCGCCCGCGCCTCTCCCCCGCTCACCGAATGCTCATGATCTGCCCCAGCTTGATGAAGGTGGGGCCCAGCCGCTCCAGGTTGTCCACAGCATCCCGCGCCAGCGCAGACTGCGGGCGCGCAAGGCGGCAGGCAGTGCAGGCGCGAGGATCAGCGTCGGTTTTGTCGGCCCGCGGCAGCCGGCCGCCAGGGCGGCGCGCCTGGCCGCTCCTTTGGCGGCTGCCAGCGAGGCCAGGGGCGCTGACTCAGCGCCTGCACCATCCCCCGCGGTCAGCCCTGAGGATGCGGGCATGCTGCAAGCGCAGCCTCAGAGCCCAGGGCTTGCAGGCTCCCGCGGCAGCCGCCGCCGCCGCCGCCTGCCCACCTGAGTGGTGGAGTCCTGCAGCCGGCCCTGAATGAACCCGTTGGCCAGCTTGGTCAGCCAGGGCACTGCAGGCAGGTCGGAGACGGGTGTGACATGATAAGCGTGCCAGAGAGGTGTCAAGGAGAATGCTCCTGATATCAGAATGCTCCTCATATCCTGGCACCAGGCAGGCCTGGCGTGGCAGGCTTCCGACGCCAGCCCGGCCGCCGGCGAGCGGCAGAGCCCTGGGCCCCGCCCGTCCCCCGCCAGCTGCAGGCGTCGCCGACGGTGCAAGGGCGGCACGCGGCGCTGGCACGCCAGCAGCCCACCCGAGATGCCTGCAAACTTGGTCCAACGGGAGGTCAGCTCGCCAGGCCTGTTGCTCCAGTAGGCGGCGATGCTCTCCTCGTTGTACACCTGCGGTACCGGTGGCGATACAGGTGACGATACCGACGCGGTACAGGTGCAGCAGGGGCTTGAAGCTCCCCAGTTTTGCGCCGCAGCGCCGGCTGGCAGCCAAGGCATCCACCCCGGCCGATCGCGCACCCTTCCCACTAACAACACCAAGCGATCACCCAAACGAACACCAGCAGCCGCTCGCCCTGGGCAACCCACCAGCGGCAGGCCATCCTCGTCCACCTCATCCGGATCAAAATCGTCGGCATCCAGCCGCCGCCTGCTCACATATGACACCTCCTGCAGCGAGGGAGGCCAGGCAGGCAGGCGGGCACAGAACTGTTTTTAGCAGGTTGAGCTCCTGGGCAGCCGAGTGAGTTGGCCATGCCTCAGCGGAATGCTTGCCAGGCAGCCAGGGAGGTGGCTGGGCAGCACCGGCAGGATGCTTGGATGCGACGCCTCAGCTGGGTGGCAAAAGCCTGCCAAACAAGGCTTCTTCCGCACATGCAGCCCGCTTGGCGCGACAGGCGGCTACGCCACCGGCAGGGCCTGCCGCCTCACCTTGACGTCGCGCAGCTCCAGGTCGCTCATGTCCTGGTCCATGTCGATGCTAAGGTCGCGCAGGCTGGCAAAGCCGCCAGGAGAGGGGAGGTTGGCCAGCGGGCGCATGGTGGTGGCGGCGGCGGCGGCCACGCCGCTGCGGCCCAGTGGGCGGGGCGCCGCGGCTGGCGTCGCGGCTGCACCAGCGAAATGGCGTGCGGGGGCGGGCGCCAATAGGCCCTGCTGGTGGCAGAGTCCTCCTACTGGCGGGCGCTGCTGCATATTGTGTGTCGCCACACGGGCTCGCCACAGGCGTGTCAGGTGACTGGAAATGGCCTGTAGGCTCGACAGCGCGTGTTTGCCAGGTTCCAAGGGGGTGTGGAGGCCGGTGGCACCACCAAACTCGGAGCCAAAGCCACTCACACCAGGCTGCGCAGCTCCAATTGCCGTAAAAAGCGGCTGGAAGGAGGAGCAATGGGTCTGCTGCGGCAGGCCGCGCCCGACTTCATGTGGCGCCTCCTGTCAGCGGCAGCGCACCCAGCAGCGGATGGGAAGGGCGCCGACGCCGACGTAGCAGTGAGCCCCCCAGTTGAGTCTGCAAGCCTGGAGCACACCCAGGCCCGCGATAACTCTGGGTTAGCCTCGCACTTCCACAAGGAGGCCTGGAAGGATTGCTGCATGGCCTGGAAAATGCACCAGGCGGCAACGAGCGGCGACCCGTACACCTGCAGAATCTGCTAAGTTTTCAGCCAATCGCAGCGGCAGAAGCGCATATACCACCGTCTTTTATGTGCAGCAGTGGAACTGTTGAGCATTTGACCATTCATAGGGGGTGCCAGGTGGTTGAGCTGCTACATGAGGGGAGCGGCGGCAGGGTGGCACAGCCTCCAGCTTGCAAATGCACGGTGGGCGACAAACCGCTTTGATCTCGGAGCACAGAGTCATTGAACCGTATAGAATGAGCGCGCGCTTGTGACGCATCATGCGCCACACTCGCACTGCACGAACGTCGCTGGGGCCGCTTCTCCCTGATCATTCTTTGTTCACCGCTCGCTGCGCCATCGTGCCATGGAATGACGCCCTCCGGGCGCACAGAGCTTGTGGCGCTGCTCTTTGTTGTCGTGGCGGCAAGCGGCGCTGTGCCCGCGCTGGCCAGCGCTGCAGATGGCAAGCCGTACTGCACGTGAGGCGCAAGCGGGCTGGCTGGCTGGGGGCTGCGAGGCCTGCTCCAGCTCCCCATATCCGGACACCTGCAGCCACGTTGCGGCCTCCGTGGGGGTAGCTGGCTTGGTTGCAACCGCCGTGTGACACATCCGCGCAGCGGAAGACGCTGCCCGCGGGCGCCTCACACCATGTTGTCCCGCTGTGCCCGCCCCCCCTCACCGGCTTTTCGCACCACCTGCCTGGAATCTTTTCATTCACCCTGCAGGTGGAGTGGCTTTGTCAGCATCCCCTACGTCCCCAATGCCAACATTGAATTGATAGAGGGGCTGCTGCCCCAGACCTGCAGCGACAAGCTGCTCACGCCGGAGCTCAAGCGCAACTGCCGCTCTTGCGAGCGGCGGGCCACCCGGGGCGAGTGCCTCCGCGGCATTGCGCAGACCTGGAATAATGGGGCAGGTGGGCAAGCTGGGCAAGCTGTTGCCTTGCTGTGCACCAGTGGCGCTGGCACCCACCGCCGCTGGTGCCGCTGCCGCTGCTGCTCCACAGGTGCTGGGAAGCACCCAAGCATGAGCATCTCGTGTGTGCTGTGCCCGGCTGCAGACCGCCAGAGCTGCAACTGGCTGAGCTGGAATGCGAGAGGGGAGAAGGTCCGGGAAGTCAACTACACGCTAGGTAAGCGCTGCGGGCTGCCCGGCGCCGCGCCAGACGCCGGCCATCCGCCTTGGCTTTCGGAAGCCTGCAACTCGCCACCTGCAGGCCCATCCGCTTGACACGCATGCGGCGCTGCCGCTGCCCCCCCGCGCTGCTGGCGCAGGAATAAACTGGCCCTACATGCTGGCCAGCAAAATCAACCCCAGGGCGTGCAGCCAGACGCGGGAGTACACCGTGCTCAGCTCCCCTGCCGCCTACAGCACAGCCTACTTCACCCTGTCCGCCTCGGGGGCCGACCCCGACCACTCCAACGGCGCAGAGATCCCCGGCGGCCTGCGCCCGGACATCTCCTGCCTCGTGCGCTCCCCCAACAACACCTGCTCCATCGTGTTCCACAACACGCCCGATGTCCACTTCACGCTCTCCTCCCGAGACATGTGGACCAAGGTGCGCCGCTGGCTGGCTACGGAGCTGCGCCGCGCTGGGCACGAATGCTTGGCGGACTGCACCAGTCGGCCCGCCTGCCCGCCCACCCGTCCGTTCTCCTGCAGAACAAAGACATTGTGCGGCGGCTGAGCGTCAATGACGACGACTGCCTGTACGACCCAAGGCGGCACTGCCAGCCCGCCGACCCGCCTTTCAAATACCTCGCGAAGATCACGGGTGCGCCGGTGCCTGCATGATGCCTGCTGCTCAGCCTGCCCACCCACCTGCCCGCACTGTTGGCGAGCTGGTTCGAGGCCAGGCCTCACTGGCGCCCGGCTGGCTGGCCTCGTCTCGCCTGCCCGCAGAGCATCTCTGCCCGCCAGGGGTGAACCCTTCCAAGGTAGTGCGGTACGCCGGCAAGGTGCCGATGGGACAGCCGGGCTACCTGCTGTACCCCAGCCTCACGCCGCTCAACTACAGAGAGACAGGCTTTTCGCTGAAAGGTGAAGGTGGCTGCGGGAAGAGCCCACCTGTTCTGGAATGCATGTCGACAGCTGCCGCATGCAGCCAATCCTCGTCCCAACTCCTGTTGCGGTCGCATCACCCTGCTTCTGCGCTGGCCGCCCCGCCTGCCTGCCTGTGCCTGCCCTGCAGGCCTGTCCAGGGTGGAGTGGAACATTAACAGCCAGAGTCAGATGCTGGTGATGATTGCTCCGGCAGACGTTGCGCTCTATGTCTGCCCCCCGGGCACCAAGGGTGCGTGGGCGGCAGCCATGCTTGTTGAGGAGGCCAGCGGTGAATCTGCATGACCACGTGTCAGGGACCAGTGGGGTGGTGGGGCGGCAGGGCACTTATGAGTGGCGGGGATGTGTCGGCAGCACAAGCTGCTTGCATCCACTGCCTCACGCATCCTTCAAAGTCCACTTTTGCCTCCTCGTCGCCCGCAGTATGCGATTATCGCCGCGTTTGGAATGTGAGCAAGAATCGCACGAAGTGCTTTTTCAGTCGCTGCACAGGAGTCTACAAGAAACTGAAGCGAGAGGAGTGAGCGTGCTGCCGTCTGGGCGCTCGCAATGCGGAACACCCTGGGGTGCCTGCGTCCAATGTGCATGTCTGCCGCCGCACCTGCACCCTGCTCCACTGCTGCTGCTAAATCCCCCCGCATCGATGTCTGCCTGTTTGGTATGTATGTGCAGCACCATTATGATGATCAGTTATCTGGTCTACGACAACTTTGAGCAATATGATCCGGACCTGCCATCGCAAACAGTTGACGTTGACCTGTATGGGTACCCGTGAGGCATGCTTTTCATTTTGCAGCTGTTCTTGTATTTTACCCATGAACCCACTGCCCTTCAATTGCTTCCCAGTTCCGTTTCCCAACTCTTTTCCAGAATTGCCCCACGATGCCGTCGTTTAATGCCTCACGGCTGGTTAACACGGCATGCATTGAGGGCAGGGCAGGCAAAAGGCAGGGCAAGCCAGCGAGGGGTGCTCCTCAGCCGACAATGATGAGATCGCACTCCTCATTGAAACCAGAAGCCGTCGGCGTGTGACGCCAGCAGCTCAATGACAACCGCCCAGCAAGCCGCCGCCTCCTCATCCGCAGACCGCCCACTGGGCATGGGCTTGCCATCCTCCTGCAGGCTCCGGGCCAGTGCGCGGAAGCCACCAACAGCTGTTTTGGCAGCTAGGGTTCCAGCCACGGAGTCTGTGCCTGTTCTGTCCGACGGTTCACCACACCTCTGTTGTGCCTCTGCCGCCCACCGCCGCCAGCGGTACAGCTGATGTGCTGTGGGAGCTGGCACCTCCGCCCTCTCCCGATCCGCAGCTTCATGCCAGCCCTTCCTTCTCAATGTGGTAGCCTGTCTGCTCTGGCTGCACTGAGTCCACGCTTAAGCTGCGCAGCAAGCCTGAGCTGAACGAATGGACAAAGTCGCGCTTGTAATCACGGCCTGGCTACTAGCCGGTGAGCTCAGTTGCGCTGCAGCAAGGGAAAACGAGTGTTTGCCTGTGGGCCGCGTTCCGGCTCCACCATTCCACGCTCTGGCTTGCCTCTGCACACGCTGAAATTGCAGTGTGCGGTGCCCTTGTGGCAGCAGACGGCCAGGGGCTAGGGGTGGGCAGCGGCAGCGGTGGCGGCAGCAGCTCCGCCTCTGCAGCCGCCTATGCCGAGGGCCACGTGCTGGTGCGTTTCAAGAAGACGGCAGGAGGGGCTCGGCTGGCAGCAGCAGCTTCAGCAAGCGCGGCCACCTCCCTTGCCGGCCTGAAGCCTCTGCGTTACGTGGGGCGACATCACGCCGAGCCGCTGCCGCCTCCACCCGGCAGCAGCGTTGTGGCAGCTGCCGCAGCGGGCAACGTCGTGCCAGACGACGCCGTGGTGCTGTTCTCCATCCCTGACGGCGGTGCCAGCGTGGAGGAAACTATAGCGCAGCTGCAGCAGCACCCGGGTAGGCATTTTCGCCGTTCTCTGACCTTGAACGGAGCCTGTTCTCCCTCCCCAGCCGGTAGCTATGGCATCTTCCTTTTTAACTTCCTTTTGAATAGAATCCCTCCCGCCCCGCTCTGCAGACATCGACATCGCAGAGCCCAATTTCATCAGGCGCCGCAGCAACGTGGAGGACGGCTTGGGCACCGGCGGCGGCGGCGGCACCGACGATGGCATGTGCTCAGCCGCTGCCAACGATATGGGCGGCGGCGGCGGCGGCGGCGGCGATGGCGCTGCCAGCTCCCACTCCGCCGCCGCTCGCCGCCTGGCGGCAGCCGCCCAGCCTGCCTCAGGCCCGCCCAACGATTTTTTCTACAGCGGTCGACACACGCTGTGGCACCTCAGCCAGGTGCAGGCGCCCGTGGCCTGGCACGCATCCACCGGCTCCAACCAGGTGGGTCGGGCGCCGTGCCAGGCGCATTGCGCTGCCGCGGGCCCCGAAGCCGCTGCCAGCCGTCTGCGCTGCTCGCAGGGCGCCACGCCAGCACCGCTGCATCTGTTTCACACGGCGTCCACACCCACCTGCCTCACCCGCACCGGCGCTCACCGGCGCTCCCTTTGTCTTTGGCTGAGGTGCAGGTGCGCGTGTGTGTGATCGACACCGGCGCCCGCGGCGACCACGAAGACCTGCAGCAGGGGCGGCTGGTCAAGGGGTGGAACAGGGCATGCCCCACCTGCGCCGAGGGGCGGTGGACGGGGGACATGCCCGCCCCTGGCACACCCGCGTACTTCAACTTTTCAGGTGCGGCATCGGCGGGCAGGCAAGCTCGGGCACCATGCAGGCTGCTGGACGCCCGCTGGCAGGCACCCCAAGATTGGTTTCGTGCCGTGATGGATGGATGGCAAAGGGTTGGGCTGCACGCGACCCCGCCTGCCTGCCTGCCCGCCTCTCATCCTTGCCGCCTCGCCCTGCTGTGCCTGCCGCAGACCACAGCGGGCACGGCACCCACACCTCTGGCATCATCGGCGCCCTGGCCAACAACCTGCTGGGGGTGGCGGGGGTCGCCTGGAACGTGAGCCGCCCAGCCGCAGCTGGATGGCCTGCTGCCTGGCCTTGCGAGGCCTCGCGACGCCTCCCTGTCGCCGCCCTTCCTGCTGCTGTACTGTTGTACTGCAGGTATCCATTCACACCTGCTGCTGTATTGTTGTACTGCAGGTATCCATATACATGTGTGCTGTGGAGGGGCCTGACATGCTCTTCTACACCGCCTCCCTGCTTGACTGCTACGCCCTGTGCCAGCAGGTGCCGCGCCGCTCCGGCCCAGCCGCTGGCTGCCGGCAGTGCCTCGTGCGCATGTGGCGGGCCCGCCAGCCTGGGGCTCCGCCAGGCCCCTGCCTGATGCCATCAGCAGGCCTGCCTGCCCATGTGCCTGCCCGGAAAGCATGCCCACCTGGCCGCCCGCCGGCCCTGCCCGCCTGCCCCGCCTCAACGCAGGAGGGCGCTCGCATCGTGTCCAACTCATACGGCAGCGACGGCCCCGAGGGCGCCCCAGGCTACTCCCAGCTGGAGTATGAGGCCATCCAGGCGCTGGGCCAGGCGGGCGCCCTGTTTGTGGCCGCGGCAGGCAACGGTGGGCCCTGCCGCCACGCTGCGCCATGCTGCGCCGCGCTGCGCCACGCTGTGCCACGCTGTCACGCTGTGCCGTCCTGTGACCCGTGCCGTTGGGACCCGACCGCCACCTGGCCTGCCCTCGCAAGTTTCTCCCGCCAGCCGCGCCAGGCATGCATGCACCGGGCGCCCTCTTCACGCCGCCGTCTGCGCCGCCGGGCGCTGTGCGGCGGCGCGCCTCGCAGGGGCCAACAACAACGACGAGGTGGCAGTGGGCCGCCGCTTCTACCCGGCCAGCTACCAGCTTGATACAATCATCTCAGGTGAGGGTGGATGGATAGGTGGATGGATGCAGGGGTGGCTGGCTGGCCCTTCGTGGACGGCCGGCTGGCTGGCTGGCCTTGCTCGCCGCTGCCGCCCGCTGGCTCCGGGGCCGCCCACGCCTGCGCCCCGCTCGCCTGCCCTGCCTGCCCCGCAGTGGCTGCCACCAAAGCAGACGACACGCTGACAAGCTACAGCACCTATGGCAGGTATGGAGGGTGAGCCCTTGGCTGCCTTCTCTGTGCCGGATAAGCCAGTACCGCCACCAACCATGCCCCACGGCGTCCCCCACGGCCCGCAGCTCCACCGTGCATCTGGCCGCCCCCGGCACCGTGCTTTCCACCTTCTTCGACAGCCCATCCAGCTACAAGTACCTGTCCGGTACCAGCATGTCGTGCCCGCTGGTGGCCGGGGCCGTCGCCCTGCTGCTGGCGCTCAAGCCCAGCGCCGGGCCCCTGGAAATCAAGTGAGACAGCTGGGGCCGGGCCCGCAGGCGCCAGCCGCCGACAGCAGGCTCGGGGCTCCTGCCTCCTCTTCTCCCTGCCCGCCTGCCCGCGGGCCTGCCCGACCGCCTGGCGCGTCGGCCTGCGGCGCCACCACCCACCCACCGGCGCTGCTCCCCTGCTGTGTGTGCTGCGCGTGCCGCACCGCCGCTGCTGCTGCAGGCAGGCGCTGCTGTCGTCTGTCGACCCTGTGGCTGCGCTGGCGGGACGCGTCAGCACCGGCGGGCGGCTGAATGTGGCGGCGGCGGTGGCCGCCCTGCTTGGCATCCCTGACCCGCCGCCCCGCATCGCATGTGAGTGGGCAACGGAGCGAGGCTGCCGTTGCTGCTGGCCGGCTCGGCTGGCAGGTGTGCATTTGTGTTGAATTGTGTGTGTGTGTGTGTGTGTCGGTCAGGGGGAGCCTGGTTGAGGTGCAGCAGGGAGCAGCATCTGCAGGCACAGCGCTGCGCGGAAATCCCTCTGCCCGAGGCGCCTGCCAGCCACGCCTGCCCCTACCCACCCGCGTGCCTCCCACACGCCTGCGCCGCCGCCTGCAGTCGGCGACATGGTGGAGCCGCACACCACAGCCGCCTTCTCCTTCCTCACGCAGAGCCTGTGGCGCCTCACCGACCAGCACGGCACGGACGCAGAGGCGTGTCGGGCCAGGTGAGTGTGTGCGGGGGCGTGTGGTAGCGCGTGGCATGCGTGTATTGACCATACCTTTGTGTGTTTCAATGTGTGTGGCCTGCAGTGGTGGTTGGCTGCCTGGCCTGCGCTCCCATCCACGCGCACCGCCCCTCGGCTCGTTGCAACGTGGCCAAAGTGGCCTGTGCGTGTTGCGTGCGCCCTGCAGTTGCCTGTCCACGAGCTGGTGCTTCCTCTGGCTGGCTGCCCCTAGCCTCAGGTGGGTCGTCCACCCTGCTGCTGCGCCGCTGGCATACCCGTCCCGCTCGCCCCCGCCTGCCCCTGCCCTTGCCCCTGCCCCTGCCCCTGCCCTGCCCCTGCCCTGCCCTGCCCTGCCCTGCCCTGCCCACCCCTTCTTATCACCAGTCGCCACCGCCGCCGCCAGCCAGCCGGCTGGGAGCCACCACCAACGTGCCGCCTGCTCACCTCCTCTCTCTCCCCCTCCGTCCCTCGTACCCTCACCCCTTTCCTCCCTCCCGGCAGCGCCATGTGGGCCCAGCGCAGCGGCATCACGTACCGCGGCTCCTGCTTCCTGGGGGACGGTACCGTGGTACTGACTGACCTTAACTCCAACGCACCCAACTTCACCGCGGGATACCGGACGGTGGGCGTGCCGGGGCCCTGGCTGCCGGCGCCGCCGGCGCCCCCGAGGCCGCCGCCGAGGTGCGGGGAGGGGCTGCTGCCCGCTGCTCTCCCTTGCATTCTTGCACCGCGCACTGTGGGGTTTGCCATCTGCCCCGCCAAGGCCACTTGCTGGGTGTGGCACACCGCCCGTCTGCACCCACGCTCAGCGACGCCGATTGACATGCTTCTGCCTGTGCTGCCTGCCCGCCGCGTGCAGGCCGCCGCTGCCGCCACGCCGCCCGCCGTCTCCGCGGCCGCCGCGGTGAGCTGCTCTGCCTGCTGCAGCGTCGTGTGTGTGCTCGGGCTCGTGGCTGCTGATGTGGGGTGGGCCGCAAATGTATGTGGCACTGTATGTGGCACTGAGGATCGATCTCGGAACTCCCCCCTTTGCTGTTGTTGGTCATGCTGTAGCCCAAAGCCGCCCACACCGCCGCCTCCACGCCCAAACCCTCCCAAACCACCGCCTCCGCGCCCAAAGCCGCAGCCGCCCAGCCCAATATCAAAGCCGCCCAGCCCAAAGCCGCCCAGCCCCAAACCACCGTGGCCCCGCCCTCCGAAGCCGCCACGCCCGCCGCCGCCTCGGCCACGGCCCAAGCCGCCGCGGCCGCCGCCTCCCCAGCAGATACGCAGGCCGGCAGCCCAGTGAATTGGACCCCTCCTTGTTTTCTCACACACACATACACACACACTGCACACTGCAATTCGTTTACACATTTAGTTTATACTCCTCTTTCCAACTATCTTTTGTTCAACGAATTGCAACAACAATGGTTTGCGCTGGCGCCGAAACCGCTTTTGCAAAGCTAGTGTGAAGCCGGTTCCAGCCGCCCAGATCAGATCTCGCCTCCGCCACCCGCTGCTGCCGCCGATGGCGCGCCCGCAGCAGCTGCACGGCGGCACGCCTGGCGGGTCCTGGCGCTTCGCTGCCCGGCGGCGGCAGGCGTCCGCTGGCAGTCGCCCGCCGCCGGCGCCGGCTCCTTCTGGCGCCACACCCGTCAGCTGCCCTCGCGGAGCCGGCGCTTTCTTCGTCCCTCCAGGCCGCCTCAGATGTCCTTGACCATGGGCAGCAGCAGCTCGATAGTGAAGCGCACCACCATGGCCAGCAGGGCGATGTAGGCGACGTGCATGAAGGCGCCCCGGTAGCGCGCCTGGGGGCGGCCAGACGAGTAGTTCTGCGGGCCACAGGGGCAGGCATGCGTAAATGTAAGTATGCATGTGTGAATGTACTTTATGCATGCGTGTCGGGGCAATGATTTGCGTGCCAGGGTGGTAAATAATAAGGGGCAGGGCAAGCGAGGCAGCGGGAGGCGGCGCGGCGGGCAAGGCTGCCCGTCCACACCGGCAGCCCCACCGGCGAGAAGCAGCGAGCCCCGACCCTCGACACGCACCGCCCGTACCCCAAAATGCACTCCGACATCACCCACACAGGCATGCGCGGCTCGGCTCTTACCAGGAAATAAACGATGCGGCCCAGCAGGTACACAAAGCCGGCGATGGAGGCAGACACAGGGTACTGCAGCAACAGACATGGATCTTTGGTTTAGATGGAGGAATCGCCCTCTCGAGGCGAGCGGAGGCTGCAGCAGCGGCAGGCGGGCGGAGCGCGCGGGCGGCACGACGCGACAGCGGGGCCGGTCGACCGCCGCGGCCCGGCGGCCTGCTTGCCTTGAGGCCCGCCAGCAGCAGCAGGGTCAGGAAAGCGGGCTGGTTCTCCAAAGAGTTCTGGTGCGCCCTCTGCAGGCAGCAGGCGGGAGGCGGGCGCGCGGCAGGTGTCGGGGACGCGGGTGGCAGTCTGGCAGGCAGGCGCGCCGAGCCGGGCAGAGGCCGCAGGGATGCGCGCTGCAGGGCCCAGGGAGGGCATCAGCGCCGCTCTCGCATGGTCGCCCTGCGGCGCGTCGCAGGCAATCGCCGGCTGCCTGGCGCACCTGGATGCAGTCAAACACCTGGCGGTCCTTGTGACCTGCATGGCCAGATGGGATGGGAGACGCATGGCGGTTCTCAAAACTGGCGATGCCAGGCGCTACTGGCTTTGCTGCCGAGGACAAGCGTGCATCGCAGGTGGGTCGGCGGGCCGGCTGGGCTGGAAGTGTACATACACATCGCTCCTGCCGTGTGCAGCTCGGCTTGCCGCTGCAGGGCCTCACCCGGGGGAGCGTAGAGGTTGGGGTAGTTGATGTTGTACTTCTTGCGGGCATTCACAACCAGCGTGCTCATCCAAAAGTGCTGCAGCGGCGGCACAAGGCTGACGTCAGGCGGCGGCGGGCGGCGGCACGCTAGCGCCCCGCTTTCTCCACGGATCGACAATCGCACTACATCCGAGCGTGCTGGAGCAGCGATGGCGAGCGATGGTGAGCTATGCCGCAATCTGTGCCCGCCTGCCCCTGCTCCACTCCCATCGCCTTGCCCTGTGTCCACTCACATGCAGCAGAATGTCCCACAACACCGTGGCAAAGACATAGCCGTGCTCGCCCTTGATCTCGATCTCCATGCTTCGATCAAATGATAGATGAGGACGCAGGAGGATGCCCAACTGGGCAGACACGCCCTTGAGCTCTATTTGCAGCGGAGACGCGGTACTGCGTGCAACAGTACAGATGACCTGGCGCCAGTTCGGCACGAGGCTCTTGGCCGCATTGCTGCAGCTCCAGATATCATTCAGATATCAAAGCTCTGCCACCTTCAGCACAGAGCGCCTTGTGCTGTGGCAATGGCGGGCTGCGCCAGGTTGAGCGCATCGGTTTCAAGCGTGGCTGCCACCGTATTCTCACTTTCTTGTGTGTTGCAATGATGCTACATGTCGTCAGCGAAAGGCCACACTACTGGTCGGAGGCAAGGGAGGGCAATGCGGAGCAAGGGAGGTGCAGAAGCAGGGCATCAAGGGACACGGCTTAGAACGGCATGAAATAAAATAGCACACATGGAGGGGGGCACAGGACAGGGTGGTGGCGGCGCACGGGCGGGCTACGACGGGCTGCAATCAAGGGCGGGAAGAAGCAGGACCGGATGAGGCTGCATGGCCGGCCATGCATCGCCACCCTGCACCCCAGCCCAGACCCCAGCCCAGACCCTGCACCCCACCCCAGCACGCGCCATCCGCCGCCGGCACACCAGCCCCGCCCCGGCAACCGCCCAAGGCGCTCACCCGGCCTGCGCCAGCTCTCCGTACAGCCCCTTGAGACCCACGTAGCCCAGGGGTCCGGCCTGCGGGCCCACCAACTCAATCGTGTATCCCTCCACGCCGCGCTGCACGGTGAAGCCGCCCGCTGGCAGCGGGAAGGTGTACGCGCCCAGCACCTCGGCCGGCATCCCCGACTTCGCGCCCACCTCCACCTCCACGGCGGCGCCGCCGCCGCCCGGCGGTGGCGACAGCCGCAGCGCCAGCGGCAGCGCCGCGCCCTCGCTGCGCCACCCGAGCGTCACCGACCGCAGCGTGAGGGAGGCGTTGGTGGTAGCCAGGCGGTAGCCGCCTGGGTACCAGTAGGCCGAGCAGGCGGCGCCAAAGGCCAGGTGCACCCCGGCGTACTCCCGTACCAGCTGGTACTGCCCCGTGGTGCCATTCCCGCCGGCAGCGGCGTAGCTACAGCCGTCGGCGCGCGTGAAGGGTCCGCTCAGTGCCAACCCTGCCGCCGCGCCGGCGGTACAGGTGGCACGGGCCGTCTGTATGCCGTCTGTTGAGGCGGTACGGGAGTCGGAAGTTAAGTCCCAGTCGCAGGCGGGGCTGCGGGCAGCACGAGGGGGCAGTACGGGGGGCAGGGCGGGGAGGAGGAAGTGAGGAGGAGGAAGTGAGAAGCGTGAGCGAGGCAAAAGAGAGAGCGCACGCAGGCCCCAAGCTGCCGCTGGGCCTGCTGGGCCTGCTGGCGTCACCAGGTCGCCGCCTGGCCACGCGCAGCAGCGCCCAGCCCAGCCCAGCAGGGTACAGCACAGCATAGCGTAGCAGGGCACAGCACAGCACAGCACAGCACAGCAGGGCACAGCAGGGCACGGCAGGCGCGCCTGGGCGGGTCGGGCGCCACCTCTCCATACAGCGCCTTGAGCGCCACCACGCCGCTGCCGGAGCCGGCGGGGCCGTAGGGGTTGCCGGGGGCCGCCAGCAGCTCCAGAGTATATCCGGGTGCCAACGGCGGGATGGTGAAGCCCCCGGCTGGCAGCCCAACACCCACTCCCCGGCAGCCCCCTCAGGCATCTCCTCCACCACCACCTCCGTCACCTGCGCCCCACCCGGCGCGCTGAAGCGCAGCAGGAAGGGCAGGCCGGTGTCGGCGGTGCGGCGTCCCAGGGTGAGGGAGCGCAGGGTGACGGCGGCGGCGCCGGCGGGGCGCAGGTTCAGCGACGCGGGCAGCGCGGCCAGGTTGCAGGTGCCGGCAAAGGCCAGGCTGATGCCGACGTCGTCGCCAGACAGGGCCAGGTTGAGGGCCCCAGGGTCCGCCCAGCAGCGGTCTCGGGAGGAGGGTGAGTCGAGGCGCAACGGCGCGGCGGCGCCGCCGACGCAGGTGCTCGCGGGCGCCAGGTAGCCGCGGCTGGCCTTGGCGGAGAAGGTGGTGGGGGCCAGGCCGGCGGCGGGAGTCAGCTCCCATGTGCAGGCGGGGCTGCGGGCAGGTGGGTGGGTGGGTGGGTGGGAGGGTGGGTGCAGCGGTGAGAGGTTGGGAGCAGGGTGTCTGGCTGGGGGCAGGCGGTCAGGCCGAGTTGCACACACACATGCGGGAGGTGGCGAGAGGCCGCAGCGCAGATCCCGGCCGCCCACATCCCGCACCCAACTGCCACGCCACAGACGCCACACGGGCCCCACACGCCACCACCACTCACCCACCGCCCCCAGCTGCCACACCACACACACCACCAATCCCCACCACCGCACAGCCACGCCAGCCACCACCGCCACCACCGCACAGCCAGCTGCCCACCTGGGGGCCTCGACCGTGGCTTCCAGCGCCCGCAGCGTGACGGCGGCGTCCTGGCTGCCCTCCAGCACCATGCCAGCCCCTGCGCCTGCCCCAGCAGAGTAGTTGGCGGCGGCGTCGGCTGAGCTGGCGGCGGCCCAGCCGGCAAACTCCAGCGTGTGCCCCGGCGCCAGCGCCGGAT